GTGGGTTCCCTTCCTGCACCAGCTGAGGTTACCGTGAAGGACTTGAGCCCAGGACCCCCTGCTCTGTCTGAGGTGTTGTCTCTCAGACAAGATACTCACCTGGAGGACCATCTACTCACTGATAGATAGGAAACATCCCGTGACACTAGGATCATTGAATGTTTGCAGATGCCATTCAGCCCATCGTGTCCATGCTTGCTCATTGCCAAAATGAATCAGCTAGTCCCATGATCCCTTCCTTGCCCCATAGCCCTGCCAACTTTTCTCACTGGAGATAATGTTCCAATTCCCTATTTGGAAGCCACAGTTGAGTTACCACACCCTCAAATCCCGGGGAAAATGGGTTTCAGTCACCTCGTCTCCAGTTCTTCTGCCAAACACTATAAATCTGTGCCCTCTGGCTTCCAGAACCTTCTGCCAATGGGACCCATTTCCCTCTGTCTGCTCAGACAAGGATTGGTGCGATTTTCACCCTTTTAAAGATGGGCAGAGAGGCTGAGGAATCTGCCTCGTATCCTGGTGGAAATGAATCCCTCAACTAACACCAGCAGAAATCGACGATCAGGCCTTTTATCTGAGGGCCGTTGGTGGGATCTTGCTGTGCGTGGATTGGCTGCTCCATTTGCACACATCACCTTTCTCTGCCTGGATCTTTCACGCCGACACAGACAAGCTGGGTCATCTTTCCGGGCTGTAGATTTGATCTTTACAAAATGCTGGGGTTTTGTTGTGCAGAAAGAGGCCATTCGCAACATTGTCTCTGTACTGGTTTCTGAAATAGGCACCCAGCTAGTCCCGCTCTCCAGCCTTATCGCCGTACCCCTCTAACTTCTTCAATTTCAAATATATGTCCTGCTCCCGTTTGAAACCTCCTGTGGAATCCTCCTCCCCCACTCTCACAGGCAGCGCATTCCCAATTCCAACAACTCTTTGAGTAAAGAAGTTTCTCCTCATCCCAGTCCTAGCTGTATTGCTGACAGCCCTGAAACTGTGACCCTGAGTTACTGACACGCCAGTGCAGTACTGAGGGAGCGCTGCCCTGCCATAGCTACGCTCCTTTTCCCAAGTAACTGAAGCTGGCACCCTTGCGCCTCTTTGCTGCCATCTGCCAGAGCCATCTGCCTGGGTCTGTGGTGGAAGCAGGCTCAAGTGAAGCATTCAAGAGGGAGTTGGATGGAACGGTTTGCGGCAAAGGTGGGAGACTGAGACTGGATAGCATAGCCAGTGCGAGCACAATGGGCTGAACGTCCTCATTCTGCCCTGTAATAATTCTGTGAGCACGTGCAACTGGGTCAGCGATGTTCGAGGTCATTCAGGGGCCTCTGTCACATGAAGTTTAACCCTCTTCAGAACAATTACATTACCCAATCAGTTCCAGTTTTCACCTGGGATGTTACACCACTGTGCCATTTACCTGCTCAGGTGAACGTAAAAACAATTACACTGTGGTATTCTGAAGGGCTGCTGGGTACACAGCCTCACTGCGCTGCCCGTTATTAATCACTCACTTCACATTGTGAAACAAAAGCATTATCCGGTCATTGGCACATTACTTTTTGTGGGATCCTGCTGTTCCCAAACTGGCCTTGAACCGAGTGGCCTCTTACAGGAGCACTACAAAACAACTTGCATTTAGAGAGCTTCCAGAGGGCAGTAAAGCGTCTCGAGTTGTTTTAAAAGAGCAGTTGTCTGAAAAAAATTTGATAACAAGCTGCAGGAGAAGACATGCAGACAAATTAGGACATAGAACATAGAACATAGAACATTACAGCGCAGTACAGGCCCTTCGGCCCTCGATGTTGCACCGACCTGTGAAACCAATCTGAAGCCCATCTAACCTAAACTATTCCATTATCATCCATATGTTTATCCAATGACCATTTAAATGCCCTTAAAGTGGGCGAGTCTACTATTTTTGCAGGCAGGGCATTCCACGCCCTTACTACTCTCTGAGTAAAGAAAATCGATAGTCAAGGAGGTAGATTTATTGGAATGCCTTGAAGGACAAGACAGAGCGGGAGAGAGAGAGGGATAATTGATAAAAGAGAGAGAAATAAAGATGTAGAGAGTTAAAACAGGAACTTTATGATCTACGGGGTCCAGGCAACTGGAGGCCTGGCTAGTAATGGAGGGGTTTAATTCAGAGATGCCTAAGAGGGCAAAGTTGAAGAGGTTCAGCTAATTGGCCATGAATAACATATCCTGCTTGGAGTAAAATGTGTGACTCCCACAGCAAAGACTTTCCCGATCAGCTTGCGTAGAGATGTCATTACACACCTCTGGAGCTGGTGGGACTTGAATCCAGGCCTCCTGGCTCAGAAGTAGGGACACTACCACTGTTTATCCTTCATCCTGTTTCAGAGAGAGTGCCTGTTCATTGTGTTTAACATTCACACGGCTAAGGTCAGACCCCAGCACAGACCTGCAACTTGATGCCCAGTAGATACGAGGTGACATTTAATTAACTGACCATTACATCAAAGGCTGATTAAATTGCAGAGTGAAACTTGCTGCCAAGTGTTTGACTTGGTTACGGTGACAGCAACATCTTTCATATTTACTGCGGCTATTTTTAATTGATGGTCAGTGGTGAAAAGAGACTGCAGTAAGAAACAGTATCCCGTCTCATTCTTCAAGTCAATCACGCTCGCTGGCTCACTCTCGGTCTCTCTCTCTCTCTCACTCACTCACTAGCTCAGTCTCTCTCTCTCTCTCTCTCTCTCTCACTCACTAGCTCAGTCTCTCTCTCTCACTCACTAGCTCAGTCTCTCTCTCTCTCTCACTCACTCACTAGCTCAGTCTCTCTCTCACTCACTAGCTCAGTCTCTCTCTCTCTCTCACTAGCTCAGTCTCTCTCTCTCTCTCACTCACTAGCTCAGTCTCTCTCTCTCACTCACTAGCTCAGTCTCTCTCTCTCTCTC